AATCTATCTTTATAGTAAAGTTATTCAAAAACTAGTGATTCACACAATTTTTAAAAATTCAAATTTAAACTATTCAAATTGGAAAACAAATGGCAATAACAGAAAGTTTATAATTTTTATTACCTATAAGCAAAAAGAGTTAAAAAAATAAAGCAAAAAAACAACATAAAATAAATAATGCAAAAAAACAAAACAAAAAACTGAAAAAAATGCCACCTACTGGGCCACCACGGCGTGAATACGACTAGAAACCCAGCAAGTTGGGCCAGGATTCAGGCCTGCAGAAGGCCCAGCAGACCCGCAGGCATAGCAGTGTCAGTTTAGGCCCATAGGCCTGTAGTTCAGAGGAGTTCGAGAGGGAAGAGGTAGCTGAGATTATAAACAGGTGGCTGGCTCTCTCAACTAGCAAGGCGGGACTAAACTCCCACCACCACGCCGCTGTGCAAGGCCATTGGTCCCGGTTGGTGGCACCAACCGAGACTAAAGGGGGGTGAGGGAGTCCTGGATTAGGGGGTGTCCGGATGGCCGGACTATGACCTTTGGCCGGACTCCCGGACTATGAAGATGCAAGATTGAAGACTCCGTCCCGTGTCCGGATGGGACTTTCCTTGGCGTGGAAGGCAAGCTTGGCGATACGATATGAAGATCTCCTCCCATTGTAAACGACTCTGTGTAACCCTAGCCCTCTCCGGTGTCTATATAAACCGGAGAGTTTTAGTCTGTAGGACGAACAACCATCATACCATAGGCTAGCTTCTAGGGTTTAGCCTCTCTGATCTCGTGGTAGATCCACTCTTGTACTACCCATATCATTAATATTAATCAAGAAGGAGTAGGGTTTTACCTCCATCGAGAGGGCCCAAACCTGGGTAAAAACATCGTGTCCCTTGTCTCCTGTTACCATCCGCCTAGACTCACAGTTCGGGAACCCCTACCCGAGATCCGCCAGTTTTGACACCGACATTGGTGCTTTCATTGAGAGTTCCTCTGTGTCGTCACCTTTAGGCCCGATGGCTTCTTCGATCATCAATCACGACGCGGTCCAGGGTGAGACTTTTCTCCCCGGACAGATCTTCGTATTCGGCGGCTTTGCACTGCGGGCCAACTCGCTTGGCCATCTGGAGTAGATCGAAAGCTACGCCCCTGGCCATCAGGTCAGGTTTGAAAGCTTAAACTACACGAACGACATCCGCGGGGACTTGATCTTCGACGGATTCGAGCCACGACCGAGCGTGCCGCACTGTCTCGATGGGCATGATCTAGCTCTGCTGCCGGACAGCGCCCAGAGCGCCGCTCAGGTGTCCGCCCCGACCATTAGCCCGGAGCCGACTGCGCTAACCAGGGACGGACGATTGGACGCTGCCCTAGGAGCCGCAATCTCTACGGCAATAGAGCCGAATACCAGCCTAGTCCTTTGCAAGGCCCGTGACTCCAAGGTGCCGGACTCCGTTCCGGACTCCGAATCTTCTGCACCCCTTCCGATCGAAACCGATTGGGCTCCGATCATGGAGTTCACCGCCGCAGACGTCTTTCAGCGCTCGCCCTTTGGTGATATCCTGAATTCACTAAAGTCTCTCTCTTTGTCAGGAGAGCCCTGGCCGGACTATGGTCAGCACGGCTGGGATGTGGACGACGAAGAAATTCGAAACCCACCCACCACCCACTTGGTAGCCTCTGTCGACGATCTAACCGACATGCTCGACTTCGACTCTGAAGACATCGACGGTATGGACGCCGATAGAGGAGATAAACAAGAACCAGCACCTATAGGGCACTGTAAAGCCACCTCATCACACGATATATACATGGTGGACACACCTAACAGAAAAGACAACGAGGATCAAAAGGGCGGAACCAGGGATCGCTCCCTCGAAAAGCAATCAAAGAGGCGGCGCAAGCGCAAGGCCAAGCCCCACCTCGACAAAGACCCAGCCATAGAGCAGGGTGAATCAACGGAAGACGAACATGCCATCGAGCAACCGTCCAAACAGGGCGGACAATCCTAACAGCCCATCCCCGGGAAAGATAATAGTCCGGACAATCTCACGCCGGACAAATTGCTAGAGCATCAGAACCTCCACCAAAGGCTCATCGCCACTGCATGTAGCCTGAAAAAGCAGAAGCGGAGGCTCAAAACAGCGGAAGATGCACTCGGGATCAGATGGGGCAAAGTACTCAATACCGCACACAAATACGGCGACAGTCGTCATACAAAGAGCTATCCGAAGCGGAAACTACTTCCGGAATTTGAGGAAGAGGCCATAAAGCCCCAACAGTCAAAAAATAAGGAAGCCACAAGGTCGGATAGACGGCCCCACGATCGATCTCATATGTACCCTACCAAGCTTTGATAACCATCCATATGTACCCTACCAAACTTTTGTAAGATAAAAGTTCTTTGTTGCCTCTGTCTCTTCCTAGTATCATTTAGAACCTATAGGGAAAACTAACTAGCACATTATATACAAGGAACTAACACTAGATATGATGACATATATAGGAAATAATGTTAGTTTTGAGGATTATATTATTTCACATGGTTGAGCAAAAAAGAGAACTCGCATCATGTCTTCTTTAATATCATGTTAAATCACGTCTTTACAGTCGTAGTACCATATGAGTTAAAAATTGGCTAGAAGTGAGGTAAGCATTTTATCTGGTTTGCTATCAAATCCACTGATGTGCTAATTCTTTTGGCATCAAACTGAATATGCCATGACAAGATTCACACATCGACATACCTCAGTCGTTACATTTGATCCATTGGGTTTGGATGGGATCATTAGTGGTTCGCCGTACTAGGCACACACTGATCAGATTTTGCCTTCTTTAGGGTCGCTTCCAAGCAACAATTTATCCACATGTTTTGTGGGGGTTTAACCAAGACCATGGTGCATTTAACGACATTAGGTTCTGGCCTCTTTGGGGTGGATGACTCATACGGCTCTTCAAAACATGCTCCCTTCGTTCAAGTTTACGAGGCCCACATGATCTTTTTAAGAAAAAATGACTACAAGATTAGTTATATGCCATAAAATATATCTCGCTGAATTGACATTTAAAAAAGTTTTCCAATGGTACGCCCTTCGTTCCAAAATGTAGTACATATTAGGATTTTGAAAAGTCCAACATCCACAATACAAAACTAGTATCATTATATTCATCAAGAATTGTATTTTTATATCTTATTTATTTAGCATTTACATGTCGATAGTTTATTATATAAATTGGTCAAGTGTAGACATGTTTGACTTTTGAAAACTTAATATGCATTGTGGAAAGGAGCGAGTATAATTTTTACAACATATGACTTGTATTTTATTGATCAATTTTTGCTTAAAATACATGCATAGTTTTCAGCCTTTTGAACTTTAACTTTCATCACCAGCTAAAGCATGGAGATATCATAATAAGAACGACAAATGTAGAGATGTTGACTCTGTGCTCCATAGAACCTTTGTAATTTTCAGATTTTATTGGGATATTTGTAGTTGGTGTATGTTTCGGTTATTCTGACTTTTGGTAGTACCTTTTTTTACTTAATCAATAAACATACTTCATAAGAGCATCTACAGCTGGACTCTTCAAGTTGACTAGGCAGTAGCACTACTGACCGGACAGGAGAGAAGAAAAAAGTTAACTCAACCAACACTACTGACCGGACAAGAGAGGAGAAAAAAAGTTAACTCAACCAGACCCCTCAAAGCCTCCCTAAATGTTCAGTCCGTCACTCCTCGTACTCAGCCATATAGGGGCAACATGAGGAGGTCTGGACGTATCCCATCCTGCATCCGGCACATAGGATTTGGCCCACCATGAACCGTTCTTTCTTCTCTCTCTATCCCATCAGTCACATGCATGTGAACGGACCTATAGGTAAAAAAGCAGGGGACATGGCTACATGCATAAACAAACAAGGACTCAAAACAAGTATTGATTGGGCACATCCGCCTATTTCTGAAGGGTCGTATTAACTTCTAAGATTTCTAGAGTTGACCAAGATTATAGAGAACATATATTAACATCTTCAATATCAATAAATAAAATATGGAAGGTGCATGATGAATCTAATGATATTGATCTTGTATTGTAGGTATTGATATCTTTCTCAATAAATTTGTGGTCAAACGGCCTTTAAAACATTAATACACCTTATATTTTAAGGAAGGAACAGAGGGAGTAGATCTTAGTTCTAAAAACAACCACACACGTGAATCTATATCTACAGTACTGAAAAGAACTGGCCAGAGATAAATAGTTTTGACAAGCTCGTCACTTCTCATGTTAACATACTTCAACAGCTTCACTGCATCAACACGTTACGTGAGGAATACACCGTGATTACCCCACCTCCATCAAATACTACTCTAGTTTGGTCTACAGATTATGTACAAGGTGAAACAGAATTGAGTTGATCACATTGATACAAAAGCCAGGACGGGGAGGGATCTCACTGAAAGAAAGAAAGAAAGAAAGAAAGAAGGAAAAAATCTACAAAGGGGGAACCCCGTCCCGGCACAGTTCCTATCTACCTGCCTGCAAAATTGATGTTGTAAAACTGCCTTCAACAATACCTCTGTTACGTAAGTTTCGCCTGCTCACACTGCCACGGACTTGTCACGTGTGGAGGCGTTGGTGTTACTCCTTGTACCACACCGCATCACCCTCGATCGCTGCTGCTGTGATCACTAGGAAATTCATCAGAACAATTGATGAAACAGTGAGCTTTCCCAGCTTTCTGTCACCTGATGAATGCCTTGAGCTGAATGTTCAAACCAGGGACTGCTTTCTTAGAAAGGCAAAGCATGAAGCCGAGGTTCCCGACATTTTTCAGAGTAGATGCTGGGTAACAGCCTCTGAAAAACAGTTGCTAATGCCCTGCATGCATGGGCAGAAAGTCATGTCAGTACTGCAGTCAGTTGTCCATCTGTAAGATGTTTCAACGTACTTCAGGCAAAAGATTACTTCAAAACCACTCACATGATATGAGGGTGAACCCATTATTCCTTTGAATAGTCCTTTGCGAAGTCCTTCATTCTTTGCTTGATACTCTGGGGAATTAATAACCAAGAGAATCAAAATACATGCCACAAACCCAAGTGAAACAAAACACATGGAGGTCAACTCAAATGATAATGAAATTAACTGGAGTCAACTACCAAAAAGCATACTCAAAGATCATATTACACACCTGCAATTCTTCATGAAGCAATACGAAGACCTTCTTCATCAATTTATGCCTCTGCAGAATATAATGTCCTCAGTAAGAAATAATGAAGAAATGCAGAGAATGCCAAGATCTTGATTAATGCAATGCCCCCCCCCCCCACCCCCACCTCAC